AGGGCCTGGTATTAGGAAAAATGTGTTTTCATGTGAAATTACCCTAAACCCCAGGGAACCACATCCAAATAAAGTATGGTTCATGTTTCTCCAACATTCTGACATTGACTTTGACTCCTGAAGAACACGATGAAATAAAAAATATGAAAATACTTTATAAACTGCAACATCAGGCAATATCAAAACAAAAACATTTAAAAACATACCCTTAAGGGATTTGTTCCTTCCCACCTCAGCTGCACCACAGCCCAGTAATTATTCCAAAAACTCTCTTTCTAAAAGGCTAGATGTGCTAAATAGACTATCCCTGAAACTACCTGATACCAAGAAATGAAGGTGTTGACTGAATCACCCATGATTAATCTTCAAGATGTTTCCTTTCCAGATAAATGTTTATTACGTATAAAATAAGCATTACATGTTTATTAGTAGTATCATATTTCTTATATGAATCAGCGATTCAAAATGTCCTAGCTCAAGCAGTACTAATAAAGCCCTCATTGGAAGTTTCAAAATTCCCTGTGGTCTTTGATTTTCGGGATGCCTGGATTCTCTATAATAGTATTTTTTCAAAAGGAACTGCGTATTTTATATATTCTACAAGGGGATGTCACCCATGACTCTTCAGTTAAATATTCATTGTTGTCAACCAAATAAACCACCTATTTTAAAAGGCTGCCTGTAATTGGTTTCATTATTTCATACATTACCTACACAGGAAAGCAATTTTGTAAGCAGAAATAGATTACCTACACAAACTGGCAAGCTTTCAAACTACTAAAGGGCGGCAAGGCTTAAGAATAAGTATAGTAATAGAAAATGTCATGTTTTATGGAAAAGTCTTACTTTATTTTATAAAAAATAATGTTTTGAATAGTTACTTTACTCTTTCAAAACAATGCAACCACAAGAAGCACTGAGGAGAAAGGACCCTGCTTTTATGAACTTGTGAACACACCGATGGCAGGCACACTGCTCACTGAAGCAGCCATATGTGACCCAACTGCAAGACACAACATGTAGGAGTAAACACACAAGACCGAACAGCTGTGAAAAATAGAGGATTAATCAAAAGATTCTGCTTAAAAACATTAAATTCAAGTTATGTGGATCTTTTATGCATAAAGATCATACTGTGTCACCAGAATGACTCTTCAATGGTCAGTTCTGGAAAATAAAACCTAACTTTAGTTAGAAAGTTAAACTGTTAACTTCTCTTTTTCAAAGCATTTTCAAAAACTATGCTATGTAGTTTTTATTCCAAGAAGCCTTCTTGTGATGTACAAATACATCTGCTAATGGAAAAAAGTAAAAAAAGCCAACCTAGGTCCTGGCTGGGTAGCTAGGTTGGTTAGAGCGTTGTCCCTATACGTCAAGGTTGCAGGTTTGATACCATCAGGGCACATACAGGAATAACTAATGAATGCATAAATAAGTAGAACAACGAATTGACGTGTGTGCGTGTGTGTGTGTGTGTGTGTGTGTGTGTGTGTGTGTGTGTCTAAATTAAAAAAGGAAATAAGTAAAAAGAAAAGCCAATCTGGAAAAGAAAACAGTTTAATTAAATGAACGTCAAAGTGTGGTCTCTATCTTCTGCCCCCTCCTCATCTTTCTTCTCACTTCGCCTTTGAGACTGAGAGTAGCTTGGGGCAAGTTCCCCTGATCTGCGTTCTCTCCGCCTCTCTGGGCTGTGCTACCATCAGGGAGCCCTGCAGCACCCTCGCTGGTCCAAGGCAGGAGGACCTCAGCCAGACTCACTCCTACCCCTGGGCTGCTATGACAAACATTACAAAGTGCCTACAGCCTACAATTATTTCAGCAACAAGGTAAACTTCTCTAGTGATGATGCTGTACTGGTTTGTCGCCCTAATACCAACCAACCATTAAAAAAACATTAAAAACCGGAAAATCAAACTATCTGTAGACAAGTAATCATTTAAAAGTTGGGAAAATGAAAAGGAACTGTAGTCCCAACCACCTAAAGTCTCCCCTCCTCCAGTCTTATGTAGCAACTTCCTTTCCCCATAATTACCCTGAATGCAAACATGACGCTGTCACCTCTACTGCATCGACAGTGTCACTTGTGTGCATCACCAGGTGGCAGCCCGGGGAGGCCAACAGGGCGTCTGGAGCCCAGCGCTCCCTTCAGTCGGTCTTGTCCTGCCTGTTCTCAGTCCGCACATCCAAGGTGGGCGCTTGGGGTGGCGGGGCCCCCGCAGGGCTCGCTGCTGGGCAGGTGGGCGGGGGAGGCCCCGTGGCACACAGTGGAGTCCGCTTCAGCTTTATCACCCGGGGTGGGGTGGCCTTCTTGTCGCACAGCAGAACCTTGGCTGGAGGGGGCGATGCGGCCCCATTTTCAGGACCCCCGGGCCCATGCGATGGGGAGTGCCCAGGCAACCCCGTGCCCACCAGGGACAGGGCCTTAGACAGTGCAGAGTGCTGAGCTGGCATTCCGCCTGGAGACGGGGACACCCGGACTGAAGCCGAGTTCTTGACCTTGATTTGGGTGCTGGTGGAAGGGCCCGAAAACCTGACAGGTTTAGGACCAGCCTTACAGTTCACGCCTTCCTCCCCTTCATCCAACGCCATCAGCCTCCTGCAAACACGGAAGCACGCCCGTCAGCACTTACACGGTCAGTAGCTAATGAAACCAGCTCCAAAATTCGCCTCTTAGGCGAACAAAAAGGTTTCCATCAAGAATGTGAGCCAAGAGATCGATGCGTATCAATCAACCCCATTTCTCATCTCCCGCCATGGTCAGTACCTACATCGGCAAGTTTATAAGAGGTTGTTTCACCTTGAATAGGAACCCTTTTAAAATCACATATAATACGAACAAGCTAAAATGTGGAAAGAGATGTTATGTGAGAATTACGCAACATATCGCTCTGTTCCCAAGAACCCTGATGCGATCCAGGGGCAACCAGAAACATCCTGAGCTGTTTTTCCCAGGTTCCTGAGGAAGAGCGCTTCCAGGCCACTAGACTCCCGACCAAGGTTTCTCAGTCTTGGCACTATTGTCACTTTGGGCCGGATAGCTCTTTGCTATGGGGGCTGCCCCATGCATTCTAGAACATTTAATGGCAACCCTGGCTTCTACCCACTCGGTGACAGTAGCATTCCCCACTCCACAGTGTGACAACCCAAAATGTCTCCACACATTGCCTAACACGCCTGGGGACAAAATCACTCCCAGCTGAGAACCGCTGCTCACGCTGAAATGATGTTTGCTAACTATAGGTTCAATGGGCAGAACAAATAATGATAAAAAAAAACGGGAGCCTTTAGGAAAATAATCTGTTTTAACAAGAGATCATTAATTACTAAACACTGAATAAACTCGGCATTTCTGAGAAAGGTCCAGAGGGCACAAGTCAGAGAGCATTCTGGAATCCCACAGGAGCTTTGAATCAAGTTCTAGAGCAGAAATCCAGAAATCAGAACTTCTGAAAGCCATGAATAATTCCCAGACGATGAAAAAGAAAAATGGTTTGTAAATGCATTTAAAGCACAGTGAACGACACAGATGTGGAGTGAGTTTAATGCTAATAATTTTAAAGAACAGAAGAAAGTACCATTAATTTAAAATGCTATTCGTGGCATTGAGAAGGAGAAAGGAATTCAGAACAAGTCGCAGGAAGTTCCAAATATTAAATCTAATAAATACATTTTTTTACTATTACCAATAAAGCCTGGATTTCACTTCTGTGCAGAAAACTACTTACCACAGCATTCCCACTGTCTCCACTAGTATCATTAAAATCACACTCTCCCCAAAAGAACATACTCTAACTCCGTTTTAGAGAATTATTTGTACCTTTTACATAGTTTTGGTAAATTTGCATTTATCCAGATTTATATTTTGGTGATAAGGCAGAATATTCGTCTATGTGATTAATAGGCTTTTATTTTAGTAAGGTCAAGAACTGTTATTCATTTCCCCAATAAAGTCAGAAAAAAAATAATGATCACAGATTAAAAAACAAACATCAACAAACATCAACAGAGCAGAGTTCACCTCTTCCGAATCGGGGCCATGTGGCGCAGGCTCCCCAGCAAAGGCCGCTCCTCCAGGGTCCAGCATTCTATCAGCTCGTGCGGCACCCGCCAGTAGCTGACACCTGGGAGAGAAAGGCATCGTTAAGAGAACCTCTATCCACTGCACACGGGGCAGGAGCACTGTCTCCTAGAAGAACAGCCAGGGAGAGCGTCGGAGCTTCATGCCTCATTTCTTTCCCTCCTAAGAAATCAATTATTTACTTAAATTTCCTTTTAGTTTACTATAGTTTCATTTTTCATTCATAAATCTACCTGGACTTATTTTGATAAATGATGTGAGGTCAAAGATGTTTGTCTCTCAAACATACTTGTCAATTACATGTTAAATAACCTATCATTTTTTTCATTGATATTTAGTCAGTCAACTCTGTGACTTTCTTATTACATAATATTTGTATTCTTATAAGTTTGTTGGGGTTTACTCTTGCTCTCTGCATCTATTCTTACACCAGGAACACATGGTTTTTAATTATTATCTACAGCATGTTTTGTTTTTGCTTTTTTAAATATGTTTTTATTGATTTCTGAGAGAAGAAGGAAGAGGGAGGGATGGAAACATCAATGATGAGAAAGAATCATCAATCAGCTGCCTCCTGCACGACCCCCACTGGGGACTGAGCCCACAACCTGGGCATGTGCCCAGACCAGGAATCAAACTGGGGACCTCTTGATTCATGGATCAACATTCAACTGCTGAGCCATACCAGCTGGGCTACAGCTTGTTTTACTATCAAACAGAGTTAGACTCATCTCTCTCATAACCTCTGCTTCCCAAAATGTTCTTGGCTATTTTTCGTTTATTCTTTCAAAGGAACTTTAGAATCATTTCAAGATTCCCAAAGAGTCCTATCGATATTTTGGTAAGAATTGTGTTAAACTTTCCATATAATCTCAGAAGAACTGACATCTTTATAATATTCAGATTTCCCTTTCAGGACCATGGCATGTCTCACCATAGCCTTCATGTCTTCATTTATATGGATGGATGGATGGCTAAATACATTTTAGCAGTTTTCTTTGTAAATCACTCAAGCATTTCTTGGTAGGGCAGTCCTAGTTATTTTTGTTTTATTTATTGCTATAGTGAATGGGATTTCCCCTATAATTTCTAATTAATTTATCATAAATAAGCTGCTCTTTGTTAACATATATGTATACAGCTAATAATATATTGTATACAACATATAAAATACAACTACTAAACTCATCATTTAAAATACCATTAGTAGATTCTTCAGAGTTTTCTAGAAATACATATTGTTCACAAATAACAATAAATGTCTTCTTCCTTCCAACTGGCCTTTCTCTTATTTTGCTTCCTGCTTAGGACTTTCCACAGACCTTCCAGAGCTTTATTCAATAACAGGGATGCTCTACTACACACTTTCTAAAAAGCTAAAGGCAGTTGCACGCTTTGGTAAAGTCAGGGATCGCAGCTCTCTGCTCCAGCTTCCTAAGTCAGCAGAGAGCCTCCCGGGCAGCCCGCCAGTCCAGGGCACAGAAGGAAACAGGACACCGTGGGTTTGTTCTCAATTATAAGTCCAAGTGTCTCAAAGTCAGTTACATCTACAAGAATAAGCTAAAAGAGAATAGCACTCCTTTCATCCTACTTTATCCTATCTGCTAGAGGGGTATGAAAAGAAGAGAAAAAGGAGGGAAAGTGAGGGAGGCAAAGATGAGGAAAGAAGAGTTGGTACTGGCACCCCACCTAAAGGAGGAACAGCTGATGTAGTTTTTATTTACTTTTATTTTTTATTTTTAAAATATATTTTATTGATTTTTTACGGAGAGGAAGGGAGAGGGATAGAGACTTAGAAACATCCATGAGAGAGAAACATCGATCAGCTGCCTCCTGCACACTCCCTACTGGGGATGTGCCCGCAACCAAGGTACATGCCCTTGACCGGAATCGAACCTGGGACTCTTCAGTCCACAAGCCGACACTCTAGCCACTGAGCCAAACTGGTCAGGGCTGATGTCGTTTTTAAAAGCCTCTTCCACTCTTTTCATTCCATTTTATAATGACTTGCAATCTCTGTTTCTATCCGCTTTTAAGATCATTTGAGGACTAAGATGTGTGCTATTTATCTTTGGACCCATTTTTAGGATTTAGTATAATGGTTGCACTTCACACTTAATAAATGCTTACTAATTGGGGGAGCGGGGGACACCTTGGGCATAGAACAGTTAATCATCTGTGATCCTTAAGCAAGTGGCATGGCCTCTCTGAGATTCAGTTTCCTCACCAATAAAATGATAAAGAGCATAGGATGTTGTTTTAGGATTAAATAGTATGATTATCAATCCTATATAATAAAAGGGTAATATGCATATTGACCCTAACAGCAGAAGAACCGCGCTATGACGCATTGACCATCAGGGGGCAGACGCTCAACACAGGAGTTGAACCCTGATGGTCAGTGTGCTCTCACAGGGGGAGAACTGCTCAGCCAGAAGCCAGGTTCATGGCTGGTGAGCAAGTGACAGTTGTGGGATCCTCTCCCGCCTAATGGGGACCTGAGGTGGGGTGGCAGGGGACACGGGCGGCACCAGACAAAGGCCCCACCCTGACAGTCGCCCCACACACAGAGGGCGACCTGTGGCAGGGGTGGGGCCGACGAGCAGGAGAGAATGGCTGACCTCTTGGCCCCTCCCCCGGGCCAGCAGGCTCCGATTGCCTGATGAGGAATGGGGAACTGGGGGTGGGTAGTGGTGGGGGGCGGGGCTGGCTGTGGGAAGCTGGGGAAAATGGCCCTGATCAGAGGCCAGGCCTAGGGACAGTGCCTACACACAAATTTCATGTGCCGGGCCTTTAGTTCTCATATAAGCAGCTTGGTAAAAATGGCCAAATTTCAAAGTGTGTATTTAAAGATTATTTTAATTGTTTGATAAAGACTCTTTAGACATCTTACCAGTGTTATTTTCATTTCCTCTGTCTCTTTAGACATGCATGGTAGATATGACCATGATCACTTTAGAGATGAGGAAATGGAGGCTCAGAAGGATGGATGAATTATTTAACCATCCGAAGGTAATGGAGACAGAATGCAATGTTCCTTCCAACCTTCAAACACACACACACACATACACACACACACACACACACACACTATATCCAGAAAATTCTGTATGAAAAAAGAACCCAGCTTTAAAAACATGATGAATGGTAAATAAATGATCGTAAGTTCAGAAAAATAATATAATTATTACCTGACATATATGTGATTCAAACAATCTGTGAACTATCCTATATGATAAAAGGGTAATATGCAAATTGACTCTAAGGCAGAACGACCAGAATGACTGCTTGACCAGTCACTATGAGGTTCACTGACCACCTCTCGTTTCATTTCCCTGGCCAGCAGGCTCTGATCACCCAATAGTGAACAGGGAAGTGGGGGTGGGTGGTGGGGGATGTGGGTGGCACCAGGCCAAGGCCCCCACCCCATCAGTCACACAGAGGGCCACCAGCAGTGGGGGTGGAGCCAGTGAGCAGGCCAAACACCCAACCTCTCAGTTTCTCTCCCCAGCCGGCAGGCTCCCATCACCCAATGGCAAATGGGGACCTGAGGGTGGGTGGCAGGGGACACGGGCGGCACCAGACAAAGGCCCCACCCTGACAG